CCCCCAAAATTCTAACTCTAGCATCCACTCTAAAGTCTAAGTCTCATTTAAATATCTAAATTGGTGAGATTTGAGATATAATTCATCCTGAGGCAAAAATCCCTCTCCAGCTATAAACCTGTGAAATCAGACAAGTTACATGCTTCCAAAATAAAATGGTGGGATGGGCATAGGATAGACATTCCCATACCAAAATAGAGAAATAGAAAAGAAAGAAGGGATGATGCATCCCAAGCGAGTCCAAAACCTAGAAAGACAAATTCCATTAAATCTTAAGGCTCCTCTTTGACTGAATGTCCTCCTTACAGATCCACAGGCGCAGGGTCCTGCCTTATGGACCCACTGGCATGGTGGTCCCACCCATCAGGCTCTCCTGGGCAAGGTCTGCTCCCAAGGCTCCAGGTACCCCTAATCCCATGGCTCTGCAGGGTGGCCCCACCTCTGAGGCTTCAGGCAGAGACCATCTGGCTGGTTGAAACTAAGGTGGTAACCCCAGCCTTTGAAACTGAGGAGGCAACCCCGATGATCTGAATCACCTTTGGCATTATTTTTTCCTTTTCTTTAAAAATAGTATATATTCTCAGCCAAATAGCTCATGATATAGCTATGATAATAGCTACAGGATCCTCCGTTCCTGTAGGATCTAAGAAGTCCAATAGTCTTCCTTCATTCTGTCCCACGTTTTCCTGTTTCCTTTAGTCCCACCTGTTAGTGATCCCATCTCTATTCCTGGCTTCTGCTGAGATGGCTGATTAAATCCATGAGTCTCACCCCTGATCTTTTTTTTTTTTTTTTGCAGTATGCAGGCCTCTCACTGTTGTGGCCTCTCCCGCTGCGGAGCACAGGCTCTGGACGCGCAGGCCCAGCGGCCATGGCTCACAGGCCCAGCCGCTCCACGGCACGTGGGATCCTCCCGGACCGCGGCACGAACCCGTGTCCCCTGCATCGGCAGGTGGACTCCCAACCACTGCGCCACCAGGGAAGCCCACCCCTGATCTTTTTATCTGATGGTTGTTCAGCCACACCCTTAGTGTTCCGTTCAGAACGAGCTTTCTCTTTTTTTTTTTTTTTTTTGCTATATGAATAGACAGAGAAATTTCTAAATCTCTTAAGTTCCTTTTTGTTTAACAATTCCTTCTTCAATTCATTGCCTTCCTTTTGCATTTTACTATAAGCAGCCAGGGGGAACCACACTGCTCTTTCAACACTTTGCTTAGAAACCTCCTTGGCTAAACATCCAATTTCATTGCTTATAAATTCTTCCTGCCACAAAACATAAAACGCAGTTCAGTCAAGTTCTTTGCCACATTAAAACAAGTGTCCCTTTTCCTCCAGTTTCCAATAACCTATTCCTCATTCCTTCTGAGACCTCACTAGAATGGCCTTTAATATCCATATTTCTACCAACACTTTGTTCATGATTATTTATGTATTCTCTAAGAAGATGAAAACTTTCTCTCCATCTCTCCTCTTTTCTATCTGAGCTCTCATCGGAATCATGTTTAACGTCCATATTTCTAGCATGCACCTCAAAACTCTTCCATCCTCTACCCGCTCTCCAGTTCCAGAGCTGCTTCTACATTTTTAGGTATTTGTTACAGCAGTATCCCACTTCTTGGTGCCAAAATTTGTATTTGTCAGCTTGGGCTGTCATAAAAAATACCATAGACTTGGAGGCTTAAACCACAGAAATCTAATTCTCACAGTTCTGGAGGCTGGGAAATCCAAAGTCAAAGTACCAGCCAATTCTGTTCCTGGTGAGGGCCCTTTTCCTGGCTTGCAGATGGCTACCTTCTTGCTGTGTCCACACATGGTGGAAAAAGAGGCAGCAAGCTCTCTGTTGTCACTTTCTTAAAGAACACTAATCCTATCAGATTAAGGCCCCACCCCATGACCTCCTAAATGCAGTTACCTCTCAAAGGTCCCATCACCAAATACCATCACATTGGTAATTTGGACTTCAACATATGAATTTTGGTGGTACATAATTTGGTCCATAGCAGTACGTATATGATACATGATTAACTTCCAAATTACCCTGGTTGGCATTATTTTAATGTGTGTAACCAGGAGAAATATTGTCTCTTTTGGGGATTGACGCTGAGTTGCAGGATCCATAGTAATGAACTTCCTTATATAGCTATTATTATACCGCCTAGACATTTTAATCACAATTATGTGTAAATGTGTGTTATTGTTTATCTGTTAACATTGACATCTTAGAGAATAGCCACAACTTGCTACTACAGATACCATGGATTCAATAGCAGAGACCAAAAACAGAGTTGGTCTTCTCTACTTCCAGCCTGGCCTTTCTATACCCTTTCTCTTGGCCCATCACAAGTCCCCCCTCATTCCTTTCTTCTCTCTCTTCACAAAACCTGTCAAAATTTCCTTTCTGAAAAAGGCTGTAGTAACAATAATTTACACAATTTTAAGGATTTAACCAAATTACCTTTTCATTCACAAAATTTGTTTTTTTTTTTTGCGGTACACGGGCCTCTCACTGTTGCGGCCTCTCCCGTTGCGGAGCACAGGCTCCGGATGCGCAGGCTCAGCAGCCATGGCTCGGGCCCAGCCGCTTCGCGGCATGTGGGATCTTCCCGGACCGGGGCACAAACCCGCGTCCCCTGCATTGGCAGGCGGACTCTCAACCACTGCGCAACCAGGGAAGCCCACAAAATTTGCTTTTTAAGCCTGAAATTTTAGGCATTAATGAGCAGACAAAAGGAGGGTTTGGAAAAACGAAGGACCAGTCCAAGTGCACTTAAAAATCAGATACAGATGACCTCTAGTCCTGTATGGACCTGGTTAGCATGGTATTTCCTACCTTCCTTCCATCTCTGAACCCTTAGGCTGTGCACATATATGATGTGCTGCTGCTGCTGGCTGATCTTCAGGCACGTGTGACCTATTCCCGCTCTCTCTGTCCAACTTAAGAGCCAGGAAAGGGGAAGGAAGAAGACATTTCAACATGGAGGAGGGGAGAGGACAAGTGGCCGAGCACCTCACCAATTCCTAAGCTCAAGTTAAATCTTCATTCTCCTGTTGCCCTTTGGAAATACAGTGGGTAACACATGTGGCTTGTGTATGGAGAAAATTCTCAGAGGACAAGCTATGAAAAGATGTTGAAGTCCAAACCCAGCTTCAAAGTAGTGCTCACATCTTTTCTTTTTTTTCCTCCCAGCACCATCCCCCTCTTCTAAGGGTTTCTCATCTGCTTTTTTCTCCTGGTCATGAGGTTTTTTCATTTGCTGCTGACAACATAAACTATGAATTTAGTAAGGGTTTGGTTTAACTTTGGAGTAAAGCTAAAGCACAGCTGCTTCCTTTCTCTTGTGCCTTTTCCTCCTCCCCATCATTTTTTCCTATAAGTTTGGACATTTTCTATTTTAAAAATTTAGCCAAATATCTGTATTTTACAATCAAAACTGTTTTTTGAAAACATCAGTCTCATTTTTCTTTGTTAAAGAACTGACATGCCTGAAAGTTCTAGGACTCTAGCCACTCACTGCTACATATTATTAAAAAAATGATTGTTGGACTGTTTTGAATGGGAGTGTAGCTGTGGAATTTTTTTTTCTTTCCCCTGCACACACCTCAGGGAGGAAAATACAGAAACACCCTTTTGACTACTCTCATGAGAAGTACTCCTTAAGCCCAGAATAACTCCAAACAAGTAAAACCTTTGTGTTTAGCGTAGAGTGGATCTGGAGGAGAAGAGGATGTAGAGAAAGACACAGAGCATTGGGCTCTTCTCACAAAGAAACTCTGTGCTTTTAGTCTCTGTGCTTTTAGTGTCTCTAAAAGCTGTTTACTGAGGGGAGGGGTGGTAGAAAATGTACCCATTACAGGGGTGGTTTGAATCTCTAAATCTGACTTCAGTTTCTAAGATGAATGACCTGTGTAAATAAAATTGAAATTACCTCAGGTTTCTTTTTGCAATATTCTTCCCTCCTTTTTTTGCCCATGGTTGGCCTTCCGGTTTGGGTTGTGCTTATAGTAAAGCACCAGGTGTGTAGACAGTAAATAGTTCCAGAGTGGACTGGGGCTTTTTATACTCTCAGATTCATCAACTCACAACACCTCAGTGGAAACCAATCTTCATTTGGGGAAGCAAAATACATTTTTGATATTAGTCCCATGGAACAATGGACTCTATTCACCATGGAATTCCCACATTTTCAACTATTACAAATTTTCTAACTTCTTGCCTTGTCGTTATTTCTGATTCAATCTGTCTAAAACCGAATTTATCAGCCCCCTCTGGTCCCTCACTGAATTTGTTGAAGAAAAAATTGGGTGTTTTCTTCTAGGCACTGGGCTAGGTGCTTGGACTACAGTGGTGAAGAGGCAGTAATTCTCAGCCCTTATGGAACTTCCATTTGAGCAGGAGAGGTCAGATAGTTAACAATAATGATCTTAATGACTATAATTTCAATGGAGACAAATGCTATGAAGGAGGTGCACAGGTACTATGAGTGAGTTTAACTGTAGGAATCTGTCCTAATCTGGGGGATCAGGAAAAGTTCATTAAGGAAGACGTGTCCAGGATGAGCTCTAAAGATGCTTAGATATCCACTGTGGGGTACTGTGTCTCCAGGGGAATCAATAGCTTTGGAAAGTGGTTGTGAGGAAGCATGTGTTAAAGAAATTGAGCAAAAGCTATGGTTTCTGGAATAGAGAATGAAGAGAGAGTGATGTAAAATTTAGTCTGGTGAGGTAGGCTTGGAGCATGAAGGCCTTTGAGTCACCTGGGAGATTTAGAATTTTGTTCTAAGAGTAGTAAAAAGCCATAGAAAGATTTGAACCAGGAGAATCACTTAAATAGAATAAACTAGAATAACTGACTGCTGTCAGGAGAATGGAAGCAAACTCTGGTAGTTAAGATTTTTGTTCATCTAGCACGCTTCTTGCCCTCCACTTCTGGTAACAGTACACCTCTCCTTGTTTTTGGTTTTTCTTTTTTTTTGGCTGCAACGTGGCTTGTGGGATTTTAGTTCCCCGACCAGAGATCGAACCCAGGCCCCCTGTAGTGGAAGAAAGGAGTCTTAACCACTGGACTGCCAGGGAAGTCCCAGCACCCCTCTGCTTGTGGAGAACCCCTTCCATGTGATTTGGGTAAGGTTTGACTCCCTCATCCCCCATCACAGGGATGGGCACATCCATCTAAATGTAACTAATCAGAGTTTCCTGTTCTCTTGGCCTCAGGGTTTGGTTCAGCAGTGGGCAATGACCCAAGTCAGACTAATTAACATCCTCTCCAGGACGTCTGCTCAAATTCTCAGGAAAGAGATAAACCCTGTCTCTCTGGGATTGTCAGTGGCCATGGCTCACGGGCCCAGCTGCTCCGCGGCATGTGGGATCCTCCCGGACCGGGGCATGAACCCGTGTCCCCTGCATCGGCAGGTGGACTCTCAACCACTGCGCCACCAGGGAAAACCCCCAAGATTTGTTAATTCACTCTCCTGTTAATGAATGAATATTTGAATTGTTTCTAGTTTTGGACTTTTAGAAATAAAGGTGCTATATACTTGCCACGCACAGGTCTTTGTGTGAACACAGTTTTTATTTTTCTTGAGTAAATCCCTAAGATTTGCATTGCTGGGTCATATGGTAAGAGTATGTTTGTCTAACGTTATGAGAAATTGCTAGTGTTTTCCAAATGCCTACATCTCCGGCAATTTATGAGAGGCCCAGTTACTTCCACATTCTTGTCCATACTTGATATTTTTATTCTTTCTAATTTTAGCTATCTTAGTGCATGTGTAGTGGTATTTCATTGTGGTTTAATTTGCATTTTCCTGATGATTAATGATGAGCATTTTGCTATTTTTTTAAATTTGCCATTATTAAATGAGGCGCTTATTTGCTATTTGTAGGTATGCTTTGGAGAAGCATCTATTCAAATTCTTTATTTTTTAAAAAACACCTTTTTATTTTGAAATAATTATAGGCTCATAGGAAGTTGCAAAAATAGTACAATGAGTCTGATGTACACTTCTCCCAGCTTTCCAATAGTGACATGTTATGTAGCTTGTAGTACAGTATCAACACCAGGAAATTTACATTGGTATTACTGTTAACAGACTTTATTCAGTTTTATCTTTAATAAACCTGCATTTTTTTGGTATGTGGATGTGTGTGTGTGTTCTATGCATTTCTATCCTATGCAAAGATTTGTGCAGTTACTACAACAATCAAGATACAGAATTGTCTATTACCACAAAATGACTCTCTCATGCATACCCCATCACACAGTCCATCCCATCCTTTGTCCCTATCCTTTAGTACCAGTGTTTGTTTTCTATCGCTATGATTTTATCACTTTGAGAATAAATAGGATCATATAGTATGCCGCCTTTTGAGAGTGGCTCTTTCACTCAGCATAATTCCCTTGAGATTTACTCACATTGTTGTGTCTATCAGTAGTTTGTTCCTTTTTATTGCTGTGTAGTATTCCATCGTATGATAGACGTATCAGAGTTTTAACACTCATTGAAAGACATTTGAGTTGTTCTAGTTTTCGGCTATTTATAAAGCTGCTGTGAACATTCATGTACAGATTTTTATGTAAACACAGGTTTTTATTTTTTTTTGGATAAATGCTCAACAGTGCAATTTCTGGGTTGTATGGTAAATGCATGTTTAATTTCACAAAAAGATGCCAAACTATTTCCCAGAATGGCAGTACCATTTTGCATTCCTGCTAGCAAGGTATAGGAAATCCAGTTTCTCTGCATTTTTGCCAGTATTTGGTATTGCCACTTTTCTTTCCTTCCTTCCTTCTTTTTTCTTTGTTTTAGCTGGTTTAATAGGTGTATAGTGATATTGCCTATGTTTTTAATTGGGTTGTCTTCTTATTATTGACTTAAAAGTATTCTTTATACATTCTGAATGTATGTCTTTTATGAAATATATATTTTTCCAACACTTCTCCCAGTTTGTGGTTTGCCTAATTTACTTTCTTAACATCTTTTAAAGAGCAAAGGTTTTTAATTTTGATAAAGTCCAGTTAATCAATTTTAAAATTCTATTTTTCATGATTTTTTCTGTCATATCTAAGAAATCTTTGCTTAACCCAGGGTCAAATAATATTCTCCTAATTTTTTCTTATACTCATATAGTCTTTGCTTTTATCCATAGGTCTGTGATCCATTTTGAGTTTATTTTGATATATGCTATGAAGTAAGGGTTGAGGTTTGCTTTCTTTTCATGTGGATATCCAGTTGTTTCAATGCCATTTGTTAAAGAGCTTATCCTTTCCATACATAATTACTTTGGAAACTTTGTCAAAAATTGACCATATATGTATAGGTCAGTTTCTGGACTTTCTGTTCTGTTTCATTGATCTGTATGTTTATTCTTATGCCAATACCACACTGTCTTGATTACTTTAGCTTTAGAGTATGTCTTAAAATCATGTAGAAAAAGCAACTTTGTTGTTCTCTTCAAAATTGTCTTGGCCTATCTAGTTCCTTTGCATTTCTATATAAATCAGCTAGGATTTTAACTGAGACTGCATTAAATTTATTAATCAATTTGGGGAGACTTGACATCTCAGTGATATTGTGTCTTCCACCCCATGAACATGGTGTGTCCCTCCATTTATTTAGGTCTTCTTTAATTTTTCTAAACAATATTATGTAGCAGTCTTTCACAATATTTGTTAAGTCGATTCCTAAGTAGTTTGTATTTCTTAATGCTGTTTTAAATATTATTTAAAAATATTAAGTTCCAAATCGTTCATTGCTAATATGTAGCAGTTGATATTTTACATGTACTCTGTGACATTACTAAACTCCCTTATGAATTCTAGTAGTTTTTTTTTTTTTTTAGATTTCTTAAGATTTTCTACATAAGTAATCATACTGTCATAAAAACACTTCTCTTTACCTTTTCCTATCTGTAGACTTTTTGTTTCTTTTGCTTTCCTGATTGTATGGGCTAGGATGTTCATACAATATTAGATAGGAGTGGTGAGAGCAGATGTCATTGCCTTTTTCCAGATCTATCTGCTGAATTTGGATTGCTATTACTTTATTAAAGAATTTTACACTAATGTTCATACGGCGTATTAGTAATTTCTTTTAATACTTTTGGTTTTGGTTTTGGGGTAATGCTGACCTTATAAAATGAGGTGGGAAGTGCTCTCTCCTCCTCTGTTTTCTGAAAGACCTTAGGTAGGATTGATATTATTACTTCACCAGTAAAGCCATCTGGATCTGGCATTTTCTTTCTGGGAAGGCTTTCAATTATAAATTCAATTCCTAGATTACAGTTATACCTACTCAGATTTTCTGTTTCATTTTGAGCCAGTTTTGGTAATATGAGTCTTTCAAGGAATTTGTCCATTTCATATAAGTTGTTTATTGTCAAAAGCTTTGTGTCATTTTCCTATTACCTTTTTAATGTCTGTACGCTCTGTAGTGAGTCCTGTTTTGTTTCTGATACAGTTAATTTCTGTATTCTCTGTTACTTTCCTGATCAACTGAGCAAGAGGTTCATAAAACTTATTTTTCTTTTCAAATACCATATTTTCCCAATTTGTAGTCTCTATTTCATTGACTTTCCCTATTGTTTATTTTCTATTTTATTGATTTGATTTTTCCTCTTGTTTCCTTTTACTATAGTTTTAATTGATATTCTTTTTCTTGCTTCATAAGATTGGAGCTTACAACATTGTCTTGGACCTTTCTTCTGTTCTATAAATTTAAAGTTATGTATTTCCCTCCAAGCACTGCATTGTTGGCATCACACGATTTAAAAAAATCGAAATATAATTCATGTACCCTAGAATTTACTCTTTTGAGGCATGTACAGTAAATCGGTAGTTTTTAGTATATTTACAAGGTTGTACAACCCTCACCACAGTCTAATTCCAGAATATTTCATCACTCCAAGAAGAATCCCTATACCAATTAGCAGTCACTTTCGATCCCACCTTTCCTCCAGCCACTGGCAACCATTAATCAATTGGACAACATTTTGTTTACTGTTCATCAGTTGATGTACATTTTGATTGTACCCTCTTTTTGGCTTTTATGAATAATGCTTCTCTGAACATTCGTGTACAAGTTTTTGTTTGAACATATGTTTTCAATTCTCCTGGGTATATACCCAGGAGTGGAATTGCTGAGTCATATGATAACTCTATGTTTAGCTTCTTGAGGAGCCTCCAAACTGCTTTCCACAGTGCCTGCACCATTTTGCATTCCACCAGCTCAGTTTATCCACATTCTCTCTAAATTTGTTATTTACATTTTTTATTATATCCATCCTAGTGTGTATGAAGTGATATCACACTGTGGTTTTTTGTTTGTTTGTTTTTGTTTTTCAGGTCATCTTTATTTTTACTGATTTTCTGTGTTCTTTCAATTGTGTGTTCACATTGTGGTTTTGATTTTCATTTCCCTAATGACTGATGTTGACTGTCTTCTCTCTAACTCAAGGGGTAGTCAGCCTTTTTGTTCAATTCAGGCCTTCAATTGATTGGGTGAGGCCCAACCACACTGGGGAGGACAGTTTGCTTTACTCAGTCTACTGATTTAAATGTGAATCTCATCAAAAACACCCTCATGCAAACACCCAAAGTAATGTTTGGCCAAATATATGGGCGCCCTGTGACTCAGTCAAGGTGACATTTAAAATAGCCATCATGAAAAAAAAAAAAAAATCTTAAAAATGCAAAAAATCCATGACTAACAAATACCAAAAAATTAAAGAAGGATCAGTAAAAATAAATAAATAAAACAAAATAAATAAATAAATAAAATTAGCCATCATGCCCTCCTTCAAGATTTTGGGGGGGTGGTTAAGCTCCACCTCCTGGCTTGGGGAGTGTCTACAGATTTTTGAAATTCTTCTGTAAGGAAGATTTGCCACTTTTTCCCCATTGAGTAGGTCTTTGTTCCTCACAACTGACCAATGTGCCCTAAAACAGAAGGCCTAAAAGCCATGAAGGAGATAAATGTTCCTTTGGTATGATGTTTTAGGTTAAATAATAGAATATTATTTAAATCTAGAATATTTTAGATTTAAACAATAGAAATTAAAAAAAAAAATCCAGATCCTTCCCTCATATCCTACAGAATTTAGTGTCTTTCTGGTGACATTTGGTGAACTAGACCTCCCACAATGGTATGGTTCCTCTCAGTTTATCAGATATTTACTGAGTAGCTATTATGTGCTAGGGATGATGCTTAGACTGAGAATATGATGACAAGAAGTCCTGGATTCAAAGAATTATAATCCAGTGAGTCAAGCACAGGTGTAGAGATAGAAGATTTGGGTTGAGCCCTGCTTTATCACCTACTCTGACCTTAGGCAGGCAGGTTAAAAATTCTTTGAATGTCAGCTTCCTCATTTTTCAAAAGAACATAATGGTAGTGATGATAATGATAATAATAATAATACCTGGTTCACAGGGTTGTTGTAGTAACTAAATAAAACAGTATTTGTGAGGAAAAAGTTTTTAGATTGCTGCACAAATGCTATTGTTCTCAATCACAACAATAGGCAAGATAGGCAAAATAGATGTCATTATCTCCAACTTTTGTAGCTTTGGCATAATGATTAAGTATCTTGTGCAGAATCACACAGCCAGTTATGTGCGCTGCTCACTTCAGAACACAGGTCTTTGCATTCTGTTGTTTCCACCCCACTGCCCTGCAAGAATCTGATGCATTCCTATTTATAAGGGCAGCCTGTCTATTTTTTAAATTATTCTGGAACACATTTAAAAATCCATAATGTGAGATTAAAAAAAAAAGAAAAAACTTCTGGTTTGCATTTATCTTGGCAGCTTGGAGAAAACATATTTTTCTGGGCATGTTTGGAAATGGATGATCGTTTTTGATTCTTAGCCATATCCTCCAGGCTTTCCTTGGGACACTTTCAGAGATTATCTTTGGGATTCAGGAAAGCATAATGTCATTTTATTTTTCAAATCCTCAGGGTGTTAGGAGTTTTGCGTCTTATTTTTCCAGACTGCCCTTTCATTGTAACTATTATTTTTTAAATCTAATATTCATAATTCATTTTGTTGAAGAAGAGATTTCATTTTATGCCAATAAATATGTATGAATATTGGAAGATGAAAAAAACATGCCTGAGCTGTGAGTGCTGGCAAGA